TGGCTCACCACAACTTAATTCACAACAACTTTATGAAATAGGTATATTATTATTAGCCTCATCCTATATTATAAAAGGCTAATATGCAAATTGTCTCTTTAGGAGTTCAACTGATGGGGAGTTTGACCGCTTGCTATGGTGTGCACTGACCACCAGGGGGCAGTGCAGAATGAAGAAATGCCCCGGCTGGCCTGCCAGCAGCTGATGGAAGGAAAGGCCCAATTGGCCCTGATGGCCTGCCAGGCCTAGGGACCCTACCAGTGCATGGCCTCTAGTTTTATACATAAGGAAACTGAGGCACAGAAAGATTAAATAACTAGCCTGAAAGTACATGGCTGGTGCATGGGGGAGCCAGGGTTTGAAGGCAGATAGCCGAACTCTTAAACATTATGTTACGGATCAGAGAACTCTCCTATTTAGAACCCTTCATTGTGTTTCCCACTGCACTAAAAATAAAATCCAACTTTCTTCTCTGGTGTGTGAGGCCATACTTGACATAGCTCTGGCATGATCTGACCATATCTACCACTCTCTCCCTCACTCTGCTTCAGATGCACCAACTTCTCATGGTTCCTCAGGTATGCCAAGCACATTCCTGCCTCAGGGCCTTTGCATATGCTGTTTCCTCAACCTGGAAAGATTATGCCCCAGACCCTTATATGGCTCATTCCCTCACCACATCCACATCTCTGCTCAACTGTCACCTATCAAAGAGACATTCCTATCTAAAATAGACATCCCTTGGACATGGCTTAATTTTTCTTCACAGTACTCAGAATTCTCTGAAACTATGCATTTGTTTGCTTCTTTATCTGTCTCTTTCACAAAATGTGAGCACAGACTTGGTGGTCTTGTCCACTGTTAGATGTCCAGTGGTCAGGCCCAGGACCTACCATATGTTAGGCACCTAATATATAATTGCTAGGTAATTAAGAAAACAAATGAATGAATACCCAAGGTCACCCAATTGGTCCGTGGCAGAGCCAGGGCACAGACTGAGTTGTCTGATCCCAGAGCCTGTGCTCTTAGTCACTGTGCTGTGCTGGGCCGATTCCAGGAGATCTTGGGAGGTTCTGACAGCATAATGAATGTAAAAACACTTTGAAAATTGCTACTAGTAAGTGCTTGAAAACAACGGACTATGATTATTATTCATTTTCCTGTTTGCTCATCTGTGAAACTGGGATAATAATATTCTTGCCTACCGGCCTTAAGAGAATGTTTTGGGGAGTGCCAATGAGATAATGGATGGGTAAGCATGTACAAGAGTTAAAGGCTCTACGTGGCAGAGGGGACTGTAACGATTATTTCCATGCCAGTGGCTTCCCAAGACTCCCATCCTCTACCTCAAGTTTGACATTAATATTGCTGACAGGAGAGGGGGAGGTAAGGAGACACGGGGGACTGAGGGACTCTACGTCCCAGTAATTAAACATGTTGGGACTGAAGCGCTGCCAGCGGCAGCATCTGGTTGCAATTACCAGAGGGGACCGAAGTGATTAGTCACCTTTATAGTGAGAGCCAGGCTGGTCTCCTGGGCTCCTCCCTGGAGAGGGCCTTCTAAGTAAGCTCCGAGTCCCCTTTCCCTGCTCCCACCCCACGCCGGGGTCCCCTGGTCTTCAAACAATAGCCCCTGATCGGAATCATCCATGTCCCAACGTTCCAGCTCGTTGGATGAGACCTTGACCGAAAGCCAAGAATACCGTAATTGCCCCATTACCCTTCTCCTTCTTGTGTTTCTAGAAGCCAGGTTGGGATTCCTTGGTTAAAAAAAAAAATATGACAAGGCAGGAATTAGGCTCAAAAAGTAATTTAACCTTTCTGAACTTCAATTTCTTTATCTGCAAACTGTGGGACTAACGATGCCTTCACCAGGTGGGATACCAGGGCCTAAGTCTAGTTGACTGGAGTGCTCAGTAAATAGTAGCTGTTATTAATGTTTTCCAGGTGCTGGGCTAATCACTTTTTATGATTCATTTCATTGAATCCCCATAAAAGCCCTGTGAGTAGGTACTGTCATGATCCCTGTTCAGAGTTTCAGAGACCTTTAGAGGTTCCCAAAGATCACACAATGGACTAAATCATATAGCAGAAGTGGAATTCACAACCAGGTGTGCCTGCTCCCGAGTCCTTGCTCTTTATCAAACCAGGCGCAGGGGGCATATGGATGTTTGATTCATTCATCCCTTCATTTGTTAGTTCACTCGACCTTACAAAGTTCCTAGTAAGTGGCAAGACAGAATCCCTCTCTTTAAGGAACTCAGAGTCCAGCAGGGAAGGCGTGGTGTGTGTACAAGTAACTACATATTAAAGCCGAAAATGATGGCTTTCATATATAAGGCCAGTTAGAGATTTATTCATCCATACAACACATACTGAGAATATGCTATGTGCTGGGCCCTGTGCCCAGTGCTGGGAATAATTGAAAGATAAATATACTACAGTCTAGTCATAATCTAATGAGGGAGACAGATATGTAAATAAATTATTACAGTTATGAGGAATTAAGTTATGATTAAAAAAAACCCCAAACAAACATGGCCCTAGCTGGTTTGGCTCAGTGGATAGAGTGTCGGCCTACGGACTGAAGGGTCCTGGGTTTGATTCCGGTCAAGGGCACATGCCTCGGGTTGCGGTAGGGGGTATGCAGGAGGCAGCTGATTAATGATTCTTTCTCATCACTGATGTTTCTATCTCTCTCTCCCTCTCCCTTCTTCTCTGAAATCAATAAAAATATATCTAAAATATGAAAAAAGTACAGAGTGGAAGAAATGAACTGTGTTTGAGACAAGGGGCAGGGGCAGGACTGGATATCCACAAAGTGGAAAGGAGCACAGGAAATGTGGGAAGGCAAATCTGCAGTGTGTGTTTTCTGGCAGATGAGGGAAGGCTTCCTGTCGGAGAGGGCACATGGGTTGGCACTTTTCATTGGGTATGTTTTAGCAGGAAGGAAGGTTGGGGCAGAGATATCCTCAAGGCACGGAAGATAGTCATAAGGGAGTTAGAGTAGGACAGGCAGTGAGGAGGATGAAGACGGTGAAGCAGTGGGAATGGAGAGGAGGGAGGAATGCCAGAGATGACTGCCTAAGTGGGGACAAGTCAAAAGGGAAGCCAAGTGTTGGGAATCTAGGGAACAGGAGGGAGCGTCTTCCTCAGAGCTTTCCCACAGAGTGGCTGGTGGTGCTTTGGTCCTTTGAGTTGGGGTGGTGGAGCTGTACTGGGTTTGTCACCCAGAAGCACCAAAGGAAGCTGGAAATGGCCAAGCTCTGCTGCTGCGCTCTGAAGATCAGCGAGGACCCAGGAGCATCTCCACGAAAGAGCTGGTCAGGCACCTGCCTATCCCAGCGGTGAGTCTCATCTTTCGTCGGTCAAACACTGCGCTGCTTCAGCTGTGTGTCGGCTTGTGTTGGAACCAGTCTGGTGACCTTGGCGTGTGAACAACTTTCTGTGAGGCAGGCGGCAAGAACCTCAGATGGAGAAGGAAGCTTGCCTGACTACTGCTTCTACCCCTGTTAGACCTCTTACCTCTGCACAAGTGTTGCAGCGAAATGTACAAGACGAGGTCATTGGCTTTGTCTGGGGATCAGGGAAGGCTTCCCAGAGGAGGTGGATTTTCAGGACGAATTTCTCAGGAGGAGGAGGAGGAGGACTTCCTCCAGGTGTGGAAGCTAAAGGAGGACAGTCCAGGTGAAGGGAACAGCTTCCCCACAGGAGCCCAGCTGGACTTCAGACTTCTTCCAGAGCTACCAGATACCCGTCATGTGGGAAGTCATTTTCCCAGCCTCCTGCAGGGGCCGCTGCTGCCCCAGGCTGAGACTGCCGCCTCTGGACTCAACCAGTCCTTTTCCCAACAGAACTCCCCGTCTGTCTTTTCTGGGGTGGCAGTGAGGTACACCCCGGACATACCTCTATCCAAGCAGTGGGCTCTCGGGTGGCAGTGCCCTCCAATGCCTGACGGGATCATCTGAATTCAGGCAGTGGCGTTCGGGGGAGGGGTGCGGTGGGTACTGATATTTTCTGTCTCTAGGTCACCACAAGTTTATTAAAAAAAACAAAACAAAACAAAAAACTGTGGGTAAATGCTGCCATCTGTGCTGCCCCCCCAACAACAAATCAGGCCCCAGACTAGACGCAGGAGTTGAAAACTGCTTTAAAAAACACCCCAAGGACTTAGTTGAAAACCCACACTACCCGTGTTTGGGAGCTTAAGATCCTTGAGCTCATTCCTCAGCATCGCTCCTCACTCAGGAGGGTGGGGTGGGCTGCCCGGGGAGGTGGAGGTGAAGACCCCTGAGTCTGTTCCATGGACTGAGGGGCCCCCTAAGCCCGGAGTCACGCTTCGGGGCTCTGTGCCAAGAGCCCCCGTGAGCCATGGCCTCGAAAGGGCAGCGGTGATTTTTTTTCACATAAATATATCGCACTTAAATGAGTTTAGACAGCATGACATCAGAGAGTAATTAAATTGGTTTGGGTTGAAATTCCGTTTCCAATTCCTGAGTTCAGGTTTGTAAAAAGATTTTTCTGAGCACCTGCAGGCGTGTGTGTGTGTGTGTGTGTGTGTGTGTGTGAAGTATTTTCACTGGAAAGGATTCAAAACTTAAAAAAAAAAAAAAAACTGGAGCACACAGGCAGCATTACGCCATTCTTCCTTCTTGGAAAAATCCCTCAGCCTTATACAAGCCTCCTTCAAGCCCTCAGTCAGTTGTGCAGGAGAAAGGGGGCGGTCGGCTTTCTCCTTTCAAGAACGAGTTATTTTCAGCTGCTGACTGGAGACGGTGCACGTCTGGATACGAGAGCATTTCCACTATGGGACTGGATACAAACACACACCCGGCAGACTTAAAGAGTCTCAGACCGAGGAGAAAGCCTTCCCTTCTGCTGCTCCTGCTGCTGCCGCTGCTTTTGAGGGTCCGCTCCTTTCATGGTTTTTCCTGCCAAGCCAGAGGCACCTTCGCTGCTGCCGCCGTTCTCTTTGGTGTCATTCAGCGGCTGGCCAGAGGATGAGACTCTCCAAACCCCTCACTTTTTTGCTTTGGCACCTGGCTTGGCTGGACCTGGAATTTCTCTGCACGGTTGTGGGGGCCCCTGACTTGGGCCAGAGACCCCAGGGGACCAGGCCAGGATTGGCCAAAGCAGAAGCCAAAGAGAGGCCCCCTCTGGCCCGGAATCTATTCAGGCCGGGGGGTCACGGCTATGGCGGGGGAGCCACCAATGCCAGGGCCAAGGGGGGCACTGGGCAGGCAGGCGGCCTGACACAGCCCAAGAAGGATGAACCCAAAAAGCCGGCCCCCAGATCGGGTGGCCCCGAACCCAAGCCAGGACACCCTTCCCAGGCCAGGCAGGCTGCGACGCGGACTGTGACCCCCAAAGGACAGCTTCCTAGGGGTAAGGTACCCCCAAAGGCAGGAGCTGCCCCCAGCCCCTTCCTGCTGAAGAAGGCCAGGGAGCCCGGGGCCCCTCGAGAGCCCAAGGAGCCGTTCCGCCCGCCCCCCATCACGCCCCACGAGTACATGCTCTCGCTGTACAGGACGCTGTCCGATGCTGACAGGAAGGGAAGCAACAGCAGCGTGAAGTTGGAGGCTGGCCTGGCCAACACCATCACCAGCTTTATTGACAAAGGGCAAGGTGAGGGGGCGGGGTGGCCGGGGCACGGCTCAGAGGGAGGGGCACCTGCATGGATGGAGGGGCCTTTCAGAGCCCTGGCACCACTCTGGTGGGAGATGGAGTGTGCGCCTGGCCTGGGCTGGTGTCTGGGACCATCTCATACATGCCAGGTTCCGGGTTGCTGGCGTGTCGGAGTTGGAGGCACCTGGGGATCGCAGAGCCCAGTTCCTGCAAGGTGCAGAGGCGATGACTAAAGTCCAGAGAGGAGGCAAGACCTGCCAGCGGGTGGCAGAGTTGGGGACCAGACTCTAAGACTCTAGGTCACCAGGCCATGCCCTGTTCCTGCGTGGATTGGCCAAACTTTGTAGGCTCCAGGGGTTTGTAGGTTTTCTCAGAAGGCAGAGAAATTAATCTCTAGCCACGCGTGGTTCCGCAACTTTGCCCTCAGAGTAGGGGGCAGAGGAGGCGGGATGGGTGGAGACAGTAACGGAGGCATCTTGGAGTCATGGAATGACGTTCAGACATGTGGGATTTGGGAGTGGATAACAGACCTAGGGTTTAGCACTGTGACCTTGGGAAAGCTTCTTCTCCCTGCCAGGTCACGGAGGCTGGACTGGGGGATTTCGGAGGGCCCTTCGAATACGACACTCTGTGTCCTGTCCTAAACAGATAATCTTTGTCATTAACCCAGGAGAATAACTGCTCTCCTCGTTTCTCCCTCTGCCCACCTGGCGCGACTGTCTTGGCTTTTCCTCTCAACTTGCTGTGTGATCTCAGCAAGTCTCCTCCCCTCCCAGGGCCTCAGTTTCTCCCTCCGTGTGATTGCAGCTCATATGCTCTGGTTCAGAGTCTTAGGACTTGGGCTAGCGGGGTGGGGGAGGGGTCAGCGAGTGGGAGAGGCTCCTCATTAGAGCTGGCCTGTGGGGGAATGACAGAGGGCGGGGGAGCACAGAGGCAGCAGGTCTGGCTGAGGTGGGGGAGGTGACCTGGCTGCCTGCCCAGCCAGGGAAAGCTGTGACCCCTTGGGGGCCCATAAAGTAAGTCATTGTGCCCCCCAGCACTAAGGGAGCTCAGAGAGGGGGCGATGGGGAGTTTAAAGGCCTAATTAGTCACCTTCTAGAGCAATATATGAATGCTTCCCCATGGCAAATTGGTATTTAGGAAAGAGGGCATGCTGATTCGGACATACTACTGAGTTTCTTATACATACACACAGCCTCGTATTTGTACATACATGCTGAATCACATATACGTGTTTAGGTGCACACACACCTTCTTACACATATGTATACATGGAATCTTCTTACACACACACACACACACACACACACACACGCCCTTTAAATTTTGACACAAGCCAAATCATGCATACACCTGACATGTCACTTTTTTACTCACATATGAACCCAATCATAAACACAAACTTACACACACACACACAAACACACACACACACAAACACACACACACACTCATACATCCAACAGGGTGAGACACATACACAACGAAATCATTAGACTGGGAAGCAGGGCAATTGGATTGTAGACCACTTTTGTTACTAACTCCCAGTGTGACTATAATCAAGTCACTCCCCCTCTCTGTGCCACATCTGTAAAAAGAGGACACGAAGATCTTCTTTAAGGTGTAGTGGAGAGCAGCTTCAGATTGAGTACAAACAGTTCTAGGCTAGTGTTTCAACTATGCTTTTTCCTAGCTGGTGACTGAGCAAGTCACCTAACTTCTCTGAGCCCCAGGTTCCCCCTCTGGGAAAACGGGCATAATTACAATGCCGCCAAACCTATTTCACCAGTGAGATATCATATTCGATAACAGATCGGAGAGAGGTAGGTCGAAGGCAATCCTGAAGCTGGTGGATTCCTGATATGAACCGTGACTGACACAAATACCCAGAACCACTCAATCACCCGGGCCACATCTACAGATAAACAAGCCTGGGTAGGCTGTGCAGGACGCTCCTTATTCTGACAAAGGCTCTCCGGGGTTGGGTCTGGGCCTCTCTCAGAGTGGGGAAGAGGTCAAAGAGAGCTCTCCAGAGGGGAGAGGGCTTGGCCCTCCCCGGAGGCGGAGGTGGCTGGCTTTCTCCATGAGGTTGCAGGGGATGACGTCTGGGTGTTCTCTCTAGATGACCGAGGCCCTGTGGTCAGGAAGCAGAGGTACGTGTTTGACATCAGTGCCCTGGAGAAGGACGGGCTGCTGGGGGCCGAGCTGCGGATCCTGCGGAAGAAGCCCTCAGACACAGCCAAGCCGGCGGCCCCCAGTAGCGGGCGGGCTGCCCAGCTGAAGCTGTCCAGCTGCCCCAGCGGCCGGCAGCCGGCAGCCCTGCTGGATGTGCGCTCAGTGCCAGGCCTGGACGGATCTGGCTGGGAGGTGTTCGACATCTGGAAGCTCTTCCGAAACTTTAAGAACTCGGCCCAGCTGTGCCTGGAGCTGGAGGCCTGGGAACGGGGCCGGGCCGTGGACCTCCGTGGCCTGGGCTTTGACCGGGCTGCCCGTCAGGTCCACGAGAAGGCCCTGTTCCTGGTGTTCGGCCGCACCAAGAAACGGGACTTGTTCTTCAACGAGATCAAGGCCCGCTCGGGCCAGGACGACAAGACGGTGTACGAGTACCTGTTCAGCCAGCGGCGGAAACGGAGGGCGCCGCTGGCCACGCGCCAGGGCAAGCGGCCCAGCAAGAACCCCAAGGCCCGCTGCAGTCGGAAGGCGCTGCACGTCAACTTCAAGGACATGGGCTGGGATGACTGGATCATCGCCCCGCTCGAGTACGAGGCCTTCCACTGCGAGGGGCTGTGTGAGTTCCCCTTGCGCTCCCACCTGGAGCCCACGAACCACGCGGTCATCCAGACCCTGATGAACTCCATGGACCCCGAGTCCACGCCGCCCACCTGCTGCGTGCCCACGCGGCTGAGCCCCATCAGCATCCTCTTCATCGACTCCGCCAACAACGTGGTCTACAAGCAGTACGAGGACATGGTGGTGGAGTCCTGTGGTTGCAGGTAGCAGCACTGGCCCTCTGCCTTCCTGGGTGGCACCCCCCTGAGACGCTGGTCGGGAGAGCCTCTCCTCGCACTTGTGGGATCACAGAGCACCGGGAAGCGGCAGCCAGGAACGTCTCTACATCCGGCCGGAAAGGGGGTTCCAACGGCCTTGCCCGCCCTCAGAGTGGGACTTGGGCCAAAGGCCCCTTTCTACCCGCAGGTCCCTCTGCCGGGGATGTCTGCTCTTCTGCTGCTCTGACTGGCAGGGACATGCCCGGGGAGACAGATTCCGAATGGGACAGAGACCCAGCAGACCTGGTTTTCCAATGAGACTCAACCCATGAGCCTCCCCTTCCCTGGGCCTCCTTGGACTCTGGCCACTCCAGGGAGTGCTCCCCGGGGGACAGCCACGGGTGCCGCGTCCTCCCGGAATCACATGGTGCCTGGCGACTTTCTGCCCCTGATGCAGATGCGATGCTGATTGGGCAGGGGCGGGAGAGAGGGGGAGAGGGCGTGGGCAGGGGTGAGGAATGTGGGGCTGTTAGACTGTTAGATTAAAAAAAATGTACATTGATGAGATAAAAAAGCAAAGCTGTGCCTAAAACCGTGGCCATCTCCTTATTTACCCCAGGGGACCCAACGACCCCTCAGAGAGTGACTGGCCCAGCGAGGGGAGATGGGTTGCCTCATGTATAAACCTGGTGTCCAGGGCCCAGTCCTTGCTTCCAGTCCTGGAAGCTGAATGGGGCAGAGAGTTCAGGCTGAGCGGGGCCAGTGCTACCTCTAACCCCATTCCTGTTCCTTCCAAGGGCCCGTTGGTCTGGAGCTCTATCTGCTCTGCTGTGGCCTGCCAACGGAGTGAATTAGGTTTTCTTCCCGGCATTTCTTAGTCAAACTGATTGTCTCTTAAATGGATCCCTAAGTGTGAGGGAAATTCCCTAAATGTGGGGAAAATTGGGGATTTCATTTCCTCTAAAATCACTTGTATCAGCTGCCTATTCCTCCCTCTCCTGCGCGCCCTCCCCCCCCCCATACACACACATACTCACAGAATGAACTGACCACCATTTAAAGGGGCCTCTGATTTTCTCTGGGGAACCCAGGCTGCTAGAGATCCCTCCTCTCCTATTGAGACATCTCCTTTTTGCCACTGAGCACTGTTCTTCACGTGATCTTGTCTATGGCCCTTGCTACCCTCCTGCTTGGCACCTTCAGTACACCTCACTGCTCACCTATCACCTCCGACCTCTTCATCCCATCTCCAGAAACAGAGCTAGAGCCCCTCCCCTTAACATTATCCATGATATAAATGCATAATTACATGTTAGGTAAATAACCTCCCCACTAATCTCAGACAGTCCAATGCCAGACACGTCCTAACAACGTTTCCTACTTGGGGCTTTGCCCAGACTAAAAGCCCACTTCCCTTTCTCTGGGGAAGGGCACAAGACCTCAACTCCTGGGAGGGGAGCACTGCGCTCTGGTGGGGCAACGTGGGCACCCAAGTCCTCGTTCTAAGGGCTCAGGACCGGAATCTGCCTGGCTGGAGAGAGGGAGAACCAGGCCTCTGTTTCCCACCCAAGGGGCCTCAACTTTTTCCCTGCCTCTCTCCAGCTGAGTCTTTGATTCCCAGGGCTCCCAGCCAAAGCTGTTTCAACAGTGGGGATTCCTGCCCAGCTATGGGCAGATCTTGCAGTCCCTTCTCTCTAGACCTGAAACCTGGGCTGTCAGGACCGAAAGCAAGCGCCCTGTGCCGGGGGGCAGCCCGAGCTTGGAGCCTCGCCCTCCCTGGCTGGGCTTCGTTGTGCTTGGCGAGGGGCAGGCCCGCTCACTATGGAAGTAAACAAAGGAGCTGCCACAGCAGACAGAGTTCTGGTGTGTGGGAGAGAGAATGAGCCTGGAAGGGAGGTGCCAGGGAAGCCAGGCTGCGGGCTGTGCCTACAGAGTAAGCAGTGTAGAAACCGGGTGGCTGAAGCCCCAAGGGGAGAGAGGCAGGGGACGAAGGGGTCACACGTGGGGCTGGCTCCTGCACACACTTGTTTTCTGGGCTGCGTGTCCCTGGTTTCCTGGAAAGCCTGACAGAACTGGAGCTGCTCCCTGCCTTTGCGCCGTATCACCTCAGCCACAATGCTCTTTGGCGCTGAGTTGACTATTGACTGTTGTGACTCTGGCTTGACAAACAAGGAACCTCCGCTCCCATCTCAACCTGCTCTAGGACTCTCTTTTACAAGAGAGCTCCTCAGACTGTGTGTGTGTGTCCCCCTTTTCCCACCCAAAAAATTGTAGGGTGGGTAGGAACAGCCCTTCCATCCTAACCACCTGATCTACTCAACTGCTTCCTTGAAAAACTATCTCCACCCAGTCTCAATCTTAACAAGCTGCATATTTATACAGTACATTCTTGTGCAAAAAAAAGGGACAAGGCTTGTATCATTCCTCAGAGTTCACACACATTCTCTGGGCCGTGGTCTCGCAGCACCAAAGGGCTCCAAGGCAGCCCAGTTTCAAATTTCAGATCTGCCACTTAGAGTTAGAGCACTTGGGCAAGTAACTTATTCCATGAATCTTGGTTTCCTCATTTGTGGGGGGAAACAGGTGGGGAAAAGGTAAACAATTATTTCATAGGACTAACTGTGAGGATATGAAAGGCACTCAACACAGTACCTGGCACAGAGGTGGCACTCAATAACGTTAGTTATTATTAATGTGCCTCAAACAGTCCCATGAAGCAGGCAGAACTTTCACTCTTTCCCCCCACCCCACCCCATTTTTACAGAAAAGGAAATTCACAGCCAGGGAGGTAACGACAGGTGTCCTATAGGTCTTAGTGTGCTTTATACCATTTTTGGTTCTTTTCTGGGCCCCAGACTCCACTGACCCCAATCTTGGCAAGCAGTGGAATTATTCACCTGGGGTTTGGCTCTTTGTGTTAAAAGTGTCTCCTTGGGGACACACGGCATTGTTAGTTCCTTGGGAGAAACAGCTAAGCAGAGAGCTTAAGGCAGAGAACGTGGGAGGCCCATAGGAAAGGCAAGAGGTGGGGCTCCCAGTGCTATGATGCCCATCTCTAATGCCTCTTCCACAATCCCACGTTCCAGGGTCATAAGCAGGAGAATCAGCTTTCCTTGGAATACAGAACCTTGGGAAGCCTCTCAGCCTTCACTCTGACTCCACAACTTAGTTATATCCAATCTGAGAATAGATAAGAGAAAGCAGAGTAGAGGAGGATTGGTCACATATGCCTATAAGTCAGTCAGATCTAGGTTCCATTCTTGGTTCCACCACTTTACAGATGAGTGACTTTGGGCAAGTTATTTAACTTCTCTGAGCCTCAGTTTCCCTTTCTGCAGAAGAGGGATAATAATATCAAGTTTACTGGGCTTGAGATGTATTCATTCTATCAATCTTTGGTTTGTTGATTGATTGATTCATTCACTAACCAATAAGTATTTATTAAAGGTCTAGACTCTGTGCTGAATATTGAAATAACAACCACTACAATTGTTAATGTTTGTTAAGGCCTTATTATGTGCCAGGTACTAAGCCTAGCATTTTCCATGAATTCTCTTATCTTGCAATGATTATGTTCTCATGTTTCATGCATGACTGGAAGAGAAAATAAAGATTCCCAAAGGATGCTAGGATGATAAGTCTATGATAGGCCCAAAGAAGATTAAAAAAAAAGGAGAAAAAGTCAAATTATACATCTGAATGCATGAAATCAAACCTACAATTACAGGATGTGGAAAAAATGTGATTTCATAACTTCAGATGGGAAAGAGTGTTGTAGGTGGCTATGAAATCAATTGAATATTATTTGGGTGCTTAAATGTGAATACAAGTGTGGGCTTCATTGACATACATGTAGTGTTAGGTCCTAAGGAAACTGTTTCTGCTAAGTTAAGCAGGACTTGGAGAGTGTTGGGATGGAGAGAGTAAGGGAGAGAAGCAGTCAGGGGTGAATCCTGTGGATTTTTGCTTGGGTAACTGGATAAACAGTATGCCATTCAACAATAAAAAAAGAGAACATAGAAAGAGAAATAGATTTTGAGAGGAAGATGATGATGTCAGCTTTGGACATCAAGTTTGAAAAATTCTTTTATTTATTGATTGATTTTATAGAGAGTGGGGATGGGAGAGAGAAAGAAATATTGACTTGTTGCTCCACCCACCCATGCATTCATTGGTTGCTTTTTATTTGTGACCTGACTAGAAAAACTCTTTTAAAAAAATATTTTATTGATTCCTCCACAGAGAGGAAACGAGAGGAACAGAGAGCCAGAAACATGATGAGAGAGAAACATCAATTAGCTGCCTCCTGCACCCCCCGTACAACCAAGGCACATGCCCCCCAAGGCACAGGAATTGAACCCTCCAGACCGCAGGCCAACAGCTCCATCCACTGAGCCAAACCCACCAGGGCCAGAAAAACTCTTTAGAGATTAGCTTTCAGTAGGAAAAGCAGCAATTCTTTCATGAAATGACAAAAGAAGAAAGAATGTATTCATACAATAAAATCAGGTACTCGGTTTAGTGGTTGGAAGTTGAGTTTCCTTCTGATGGCTTATAACTTCTATTTTCTCTGTGAAGTAGGAGGTGAGGTAATCTGTTCAGAGACAGTAGAAAGAGTCTCTGCAGATGTAATCAAGTTAATATAAAGTCTTTAGTGGGCCTAATCCAGTATGACTGGAATTCTTACAATAGGACAAGAGACACGGAGACAGGCACACAGGGAGAAGGCCATGTGATGAGAGAGGCAAAGAACAGAATGATACAGCTGTAAAGGATTGCTGGAAACTTCCAGAAGCTAGAAAGAGGCAAGAAATGACCCTCCTCTAGAGCCTTCAATAGAGCATGCATGGTCCTGCCAACCCCTTGATTTTGGGCTTTTAGGCTCCAGAACTTCAAAACAATACATTTTAATGGTTTTAAGCCACTTGATTTTTAAAAAAAAATTACTTTATTGATTTTTTACAGAAAGGAAGGGAGAAGGATAGAGAGTTAGAAACATCGATGAGAGAG